TGTCTCTGGTGAATCCTCTCACCACTTGCACCTCTGGCCTGTATCCCAATTCTTGTATGCATAAATAAATAAATCTTCAAAAAAAAACACAACAAAGAATAAGAGTCAAGGTCTCTGTTCTCATGAAGATTATGGTCCACTTGGAGGAGACAGACAAAGGATAAATAAATACACAATCTTAGAGAATATACAACCCCAGACCAGAGTTAAGAAAGATACAGAGAATATCAAAAGGGTTGTATAATACAGAGTGACTTCTAATAGTAGCTTCTGTATTCACCTTAAGAAGTGACAGTTTTTTTTTTTAAAAGATTTATTTATTTATTTATTTATACAAGCACTGGGTACAGTCAGAAGCATGGGAGTGTAAGAGAATTCACCAGAGCCAGAGCAGGGAGTAGAACAGGCAGATGGACGAAGTACACTGCTGAGGGGAGCAGCAGGTGGCAAGAGAGGTCTGTGTGCCATGTGGGACACGCTCCCTGAGGCCGGGGATCGAACTGGCACTGCAAAGGCTGCGGGCAGCTTTGCATCCCAGCGCTCAACCGCTGCGCCACCGGGGAGGCCCAAGAAGTGACAGTTAATTGAACATATGCCTGATAAGTACTCAGCCATGTGACAGTCACCATGAAGACCTCTGTGTGTGTGTGTGTGTGTGTGTGTGAGAGAGAGTCACCTTACTTAGTGAGTATGTTGCGAATTTGAAATGCATGAGAATTTCTGGTGATGCTAATAATTTAAACATTACTATTGGTATTTTTATTTGAGTAAATGAAGACATGATCAAATCTGAAAGAAAGAGAAAGTGTAAAGTCCCTTAACAGATATTAGTTAAGCAAATTTAAAAAATATATATATATAATATATATAAAAGCTCTAAAGAAAGTCACATTCATAAAAAAATATGCTGGATAGGAGGGTAGAGGCTTGAGTTTCAGAAGCAAAATATAGTTTGAATGCTGATCATGTACTGCTTTTTTAACCTGCATAATGAGTTTAGAATTTTTTTCTAACTTTGAAAGAAAACACTGGAGCTTTTAGAACAGGATAATATGATTTGACTTACATTTTTAAATATGACCTTCTTGGTTCATGGAAATTTTATGTTAGAAAGACTAAAGTTTGATGCTGGAAGCAGAGTTAAGGGATATTTATGAGAACCTGATTGTACTCATTGTTAGAATATAATAGAATAGTATAGAGTAAATTTATGGGAAATCCAGATTTCCATAGTGTCCAACACATGTTTAAGATTATATTTAGGCAATATGTGAAGCCGACAAGAAAACAGTTTTTATATGACTGGGATTTCACAGAGCACTTTATTCAGTGATAGTATTTAAGAGACAGGAGACCAGATAGATGGCATCAGCTCTGTACATGTATAGATGGATGGAAAGGAGAAGTGGGTACAGGATAAAGCTCTGATTCATGTCACTCTTAGAGTTAAAGACCAGTTGCCAGTCAAGGAGAATTAGAAGAAAACTCTGAGGTTTGAGAAAAATCACCCAACTTTTGTTGATATGGAAGCCAAGGAATGTGTGATGTCAAGAAGAGTGATTGAGGTTATAAAGCTTCTCAGTCATTTTGCTAGATGGAAGAAAAAGAGAAATAGGGCAACAGTTTAGAGGAAATGTTAAGGGGTATTAAAACATGTTTATAACGATGGGGAAATAGTCTGTTGCAAAGGGAATATAGATAAGAGAGAAGAGAAATGCTAAATCAAAACTGAAAAAATAACAAAATAAAATCAACACTTTTAGCAGAGTCATTGGTCACTGAGGGAAGCAGACATCTCCTGCTTGGCTAAAGAAGAGAGGCTCTTGGGCCTCCCTGGTGGCACAGTGGTTGAGCGCTGGGTTGAAAAGCTGCCCGCAGCCTCTGCAGCACCGGTTCGATCCCCCACCGGGGGGAGTGTCCCACATGGAGCGCAGACCTCTCTGGCCGCCCGCTGCTCCCCTCAGCAGTGTACTTCATCAGTCTGCCTGTTCTGCTCTCCCCTCTGGCTCTGGTGAATTCTCTCACCCTCCTGTACTTCTGACTGTACCCAGTGCTTGTATAAATAAATAAATGAATCTTTAAAAAAAAAAAAGAAGAGAGGCTCTTTCTGGCTTATCATACCATTGGATGATGTCACTTATGTGTGGAATATAGAAAAGTCAAACAAAATGTCGGACAGACAATATTAAAACCAACCCTTGAGAGCTGACCATAATCTGAGGCATGAGAGAAGGAGAGGAAGGGGAGGTGAAGGGTGGGAATGGGGAAGGAGAGAACAATGGACTGTAGAGGATGAATATGGGAGCTTTGGTGGTGGGAATGATAAGGTGACTACATCTGAGAGGGAAATGCTATACTGTGAAAACACGAGCAAGGTCTCTCTGTCCTCTCTGTGTGTGTCTCTCTCTATATATATAAATATGTGCCATCTATCTATATATATGGCATAATTTCAAAAAAAGGAAGACACTGTGTTTCCTTTTTTAATTATTATTTATTTAATTGTTATTGAAGTAAAATGTTTTACATCCTAGCAAGTGTTTTGGCTATATAGGATTTCCTACCTCAGGTAGGAAAAAAAAAAGAAGGAAAAAAAATGAGATGGGAATCTGTGGCTGTGGGTTGATGGAACATGGGCGTGGATATATTCAGTTCTTGAGTGACATTCTTATTCAATCCTTAAACTTGGGTCGTCATCATAGTTCTCTTTTGAGTTTACTCTTTCATAAATACTGACCATAGTATCTGGAGCCCACTTAAATATTTGGGTTTGTTTCATGTGTGTGTGTATGTGTGTGTTTGGTGTGTGTGTGTGTGTGGCAGGGTGCAGGGAGTGGAGGCGTGTAATCCAATAACTCCAAGATCCTCTGTTTATTGTGGCAGTTCAATGTACAGAGCCCTGGCTCATCCAGACTTTTCCTATATAAAAGGGACTCCGCAATTTCTGAACACCAATATGTTATTTTTTTAGCTACCTCTGCATATATTTTTTCTCAAATATTTTAACAGGCACATAATTTCAATTTGTAGGTCTTTTGTTTGTGACAGAGATGAATTAAAAACAACAACAACAAAAATGAACAAAGACTGAACATTTGCACTCATCTGCTTTCTCTAGTTTCCTACAGAGGATCTTTTATGTTGCTGGGTCAGCATTAACAACTGTTTTGCCCCGAAGGAGTGGAATAGTGAGAAAATCAGCAGGAAACCAAGAGGGACTACAATATTGCAGACAGTGAAATCAAGGAAGAAAAATCTATGAAGGTGAAAGGGTAAGAAAACAGCATCAGCTTGAATAGTGTGGATTCTTTTGGGAATCTGCAAAGAGGAATAAAAGAAGACAGAGAGAAAAAAAAATATGCAGATGCATTGATGAGGGGGATTTCGGTAAAGAAATGAATATGCAGAATTGTAAGTCACTGCTAACGTCTCTTTTCAAGAGAAATTTCTGGAAAGACCCATTCATTAATTAGAATGTTCTTGGAATCATTTTTGTTGTTTCTTTTAGAAGTGGTACTCTGCTGATTTCAAGAATGTTTTTATTATTAGTATTAAATTTTAATCTAAATTATTAGTATTAAATTAAATTTTAATTGGTTTAGTATTTGTTTGATGCACACTTGTACAATGTGGAAGCATAAGGTCAAGTGGATGAGACAAAAGGTGAATGCTATTCTACCCTTTCTTCAGCAGTGACCTCTGGTGGTAGAAGCAGACAGTGCATGCACTGTCCTGATAAGTGCAGAAAGGCAAGGATAGGCTCCATGTTACTCTATTGTTATGGAAACATTAATGAGGAAGTCAACATTTCCTTTTGAGGAATTGGGGAATTTTCAGAGGCACTTTTTTAGGGGAAGGAAAGTGTCTTTTAACTTAACCATTTCTGTTTAAGTCAGCATTCTTTGTGAGACAGGAGTCTAAAAGATGGCAACAGTTAAAACGGACATTGGTAGAATTTTCCTTTCCAAATGCACCATTTGAAGGCTCTGTTCAGTATTTAGAAAACACTAAGTATTGTCAGCTATGTAATCAGGAATGAAAATAGCCACGCTAAGCTTGATATTATTTTCTTTGCTTTATGCAGAGTACATTTGTTCATTATTAGATTTAAAATGTGTTGTGCCCACGTCGACCAGTGCAGCCCCCAAGGACACAGACAACCGATGCAAGGGCACAAAGGAGTTTAATACGGGCTCGAGACCGGGCCCTCGACACGCACCGATGCAACGGCAGAGGTCGAGAGCCCCGAACAGAGGAAGCTGGGACATTTTATAGGGTCGCGAGTGGCGGGAACTTTGAAAGAAGTTGGCAATTATTCATTGGCTACTACAAAGGCACTTTGGGCGCGCACGGTTACAGTTTCAAACTGATTGGACGGTTAGAGATGCTGTCCCATTTATGGACAGGACTGCCCTCATTGGTGGCTGGGGTGGTCTGCTTTTTCGTCACCAAGTGGAGTGAGGGTTGTGACTGCTGAAACTATCTCCGGAAAGCGGCAGGACAAGGACTAACATATCAAGGTGGAGGATATACAAAATGGCGAAACCTCAGCTAAGCTTGGTTTTACATTTCCCCTTTTTTTTTTTTTAAAAAAAAACGGCTAGTCAGTTAAGAAAATAACACAGCTACCAAGCCTTTTATCAGTTAGTTAGTCTCAGAATTATGGTTACGTTTAGTCACATTATGTGTCATTTTGTTGTTCATTCACAGGGTTATAGGTCCAGCAAAAGTTAAACAGTAGACCTTTCATAGCACTGTGAATGAACAAAGGTATAGGCTGAAAAACTCTCCCCCTTTTTACAGTGATTGTAACTTTTATTTTTAGGCGGCATTTGATTTAAACGCTTCCAACAGACCACCCTCCCTACTGTACCTGGACATCCATGGGTGGTGCCCTTAATCAGGGTCGCCACAAACAGAGGAACTCCCTTAAGGCTGCAAGCACGCTTACTAACATAGCACTTGCTCTGAATATGACCGAATATGCCTTTGGTGATGCACCGTCGGCAGGGATCCCAGTCAGCCCCGACAAGGAGAAAACAAAGGAAGGACAGTAGGTAGCCAACATTACAGTTTGGTGTCATTTTTCACGGCGTGGGCAGTGGTCTGGGAGCGATGGGTTGTAGCCGGGAGCGCCTGAAGAGTCAGCTTGAGTGGATTGGTGGGATGCTTCCGGGCTCGCCACTGCAGCTGGGAGTCGTCAGTTGGTGCCGTCTTGACGTGTGAGTGATGAACCCAGGCCGCGATGCCGTCCACTTTGAGTGCGGTGGGTGTGGTCAGGAGGACGATGTAGGGACCCTTCCACCGGGGCTGGAGGCCACGACCGTCGGTCTTGTGTCGGCGGACAAGGACAAGATCTCCAGGCTGAAATTTGTGGGCTGTCTGAGAAGGTCCTCCCCCTTCATAGAGCGCTCTGAGGCGGGGCCAGACCTCCTGGTGAGCCTGCTGTACAGCCCACACAGAAAGAAAAAGTTCACAATCAGAAGGCAAATCACAAGCTAACTGCGCACCGTGCGGTGTGGTTGGGGGGGCGGTTCCATAGATAATCTCGAACGGAGACAGACCCAGACGATAAGGGAATTGCGAGCCCGGAAGAGGGCATAGGGAAGGAGAGTCACCCAGTCCCCGCCAGACTCTAAAGTTAATTTAGTTAAAGTTTTTTTTAAAGTTCTGTTCATTCTCTCCACCTGCCCTGAACTCTGGGGCCGATAGGCACAATGGAGCTTCCACTCTGCTCCCAGGGCAGAAGCCACAGATTTTGATACCTGAGAGACAAAGGCTGGTTCATTGTCTGACCCAATGGTCACTGGAAACCCAAATCTAGGAAAAATGTTTTCCAACAGGATTTTGGCTACCACTCGAGCTGACTCACCTCTTGTCGGGAACGCCTCCGGCCATCCGGAAAACGTGTCCACCAGGACCAGCAGGTATCGATAGCCAAATTTACCTGGTCTTACCTCGGTGAAGTCTATTTCCCAATGGACCCCCGGGCGCGTTCCTCGCGGCCTCATTCCTGGTTCACCGGTTGTCTTGGTGGCGTTTACCATGGCACACGACTGGCAGGATGCCACTACTTGTCGCACGGTACAGGTTGCGTCCCGGACATGGAGGTTCCATTGCCTGATTAGAGTTAGAATTTTTCTCTCTCCCAAATGCGTGGCTCGGTGCAAGCACTGAATGAGATCAGTGGCCAAGTGTGCTGGCAAGATGGCCTTAGTTTCTTGGGTGTACCACCAGTGTCCCAAAGAAAAAGCACCCGGTAGAGACTGTATGTAGTCAAAGTCCATAGCACTATACTCTGGGTCTTTCGGCAGCTGCGGGTCCCCTGGGTCTGGGAGTTTTACTGTCAGGGCATCTACCGGCATTAGGGCAGCTTGGCGTGCTGCCTCATCCGCCCGCTTATTACCTTGAGTTGGAGTCGAGGAGTCCTTTTGATGACCTGGATGATGCACTATAGCCAGCTTACGTGGTAGCCACAGCGCTGCCAGGAGATCCATAATTTCTTGAGCGTTTTTAATGCCTTTGCCGTCGGAGGTTAAGAGCCCGCGCTCTCGATATATGGCCCCGTGTACGTGGGCCGTGGCAAATGCATATCTGCTGTCAGTATACACAGTTAAATTTTTTTCTCGAGCCAAGGTGAGAGCTTTGGTTAGGGCAATTAGTTCAGCCTTTTGAGCGGACGTCCCGGATGGCAAAGGCTCAGCCCATATGACTTCCTGCATGGACACCACTGCCGCCCCTGCCGCTCTTCGGCCCTCGTGGATAAAACTGCTCCCATCCGTAAAGCAAACCAGTCCGTCCGGCAGAGGGTTATCTCGCAGATCAGGGCGTAACCCTTGGACCTGGGCCAAGATATCAACACAGTCTAGATGGGCCTCCAGGTCAGGGGCAGGTAGGAGGGAGGCGGGGTTTAGCCCCGTGGGTGGCGAAAAATTGACCCTCTCTGGGTTGAGCAATAGGCTTTGGTAATGCGTGATTCGGGCATTACTCATCCACCTCTCTGGCGGCTGCCTGAGGACTCCTTCCACCGCATGGGGGGTGATTATGGAAGTAACTTGTCCCAGAGACAGTTTTTGGGAGTCCTTGAAAAGGAGGGCAGCCGCTGCCACCATGCGTAAGCACGGTGGCCAGCCGGACGCCACCGGGTCTAACTTTTTAGACAGATAAGCCACAGGACGCCTCCAGGGGCCCAAGGACTGAGTGAGCACCCCTTTAGCTATGCCCTTTGCCTCATCTACGAACAAATGGAAAGGCTTTGTAATGTCCGGAAGACCCAGGGCTGGTGCAGACAGTAAAGCCCTCTTTAAGGACTCAAAAGACTGCTGCATCTGGGGAGTCCACTGAAAAGTTACTTTTTCCCGGGTAGCCTCATACAAGGGTTGGGCCAGGTCTGCGAATCCAGGTATCCATAGCCGGCAAAACCCAGCAGATCCCAGGAACTCACGTACCTCTCTTTTGGTGGTGGGTGTCGGCAACTGTAAGACAGTAGCTTTTCTGGCTTCCGTCAGCCACCTATAACCGTTTTTGAGGCGGTAGCCCAGATAGATTACCTCGGGCAGGCAAATTTGTGCCTTTTTTGCGGAGACGCGGTATCCCATCTGGCCCAGTTTCGTCAGTAATTCGGCTGTTCCTGTTCGGCAGGCATGCTCACTTTCCGCTGCAAGTAACAGATCATCAACATACTGGAGCAAAGTTAGTTCGGGAAATCGGCTGCGGAATTTTTTTAAATCCTCATGAAGGGCCTCGTCAAAAAGGGTGGGAGAGTTTTTAAACCCTTGAGGTAACCTTGTCTAAGTTAATTGTCCACTGATGCCCCGTTCCGCATCCTGCCATTCAAAGGCAAACATTTCCTGGCTTTGGGGTGCTAGTGGTAGACTAAAGAAGGCATCTTTTAAGTCCAATACTGTGTACCACACATGAGTAGGTGGCAAGGCACTCAGCAAGGTATAAGGGTTTGGGACTGTGGGGTGGATATCTATGACCCGTTTATTTACTTCTCTGAGGTCCTGTACCGGCCTGAAGTCTTGCGAGTGTGGTTTTCGCACCGGTAACAAAGGGGTGTTCCATGACGAATGGCATGTTTTAAGGATACCACTGTCCAATAGCCTCCGAATATGAGGCGTTATTCCTGCCTTGGCTTCTGCAGGCATAGGGTACTGTTTTACCCGAATGGGTTCAGCCCCAGGCTTTAGCTGGACTATAATGGGTGGTCTGTGGGACGCCAGGCCAACGCCCCCGGTTTCTGCCCAAACATTCGAGAAAGATTCCATCCACCACCCAGAAAGGGGTGGGTGATCTGGCGCCACCAAAAGGCGGTACTCATCTTGAAGGGAAATCGTGAGGACGTGTAGGGGAGAGCCCTTAAAGTCCTTGATTTTGACACCTTCCTGTCCAAATGAGATTTGCGCTCCTACCTTGGTTAAAAGGTCTCTTCCAATTAATGGGTACGGGCATTCAGGAATTACAACGAAGGTGTGCGAGACCTGACCTTTTCCCAGGTCTACAGATCTTTTCGTGGTCCAGGGATACTGCTTGCATCCCGTAGCCCCTTGCACCCACGAAGTTTTACCGGAAAGTTTACCCAAGGGTTCCGTGAGGACTGAATGCTGTGCTCCCGTGTCCACAAGGAAATTAACGGGTCTCCTCTCCAATTTTAAGGTTAGCCGGGGCTGGGGGAGGGTCGAGCCCTGACGGTCCTAGTCACTGTCATCTCTTGTGCCCCCGAGCACCAGGACAGGAGTGTCAGAAACGGCGGGGTTGTTTGAGGTTATTCCCCGTTTCTTTGGGCAATGTTTGGCCCAGTGTCCTTTTTGAGTGCAGTATGCACATTGATCACGCTGTAGGGTCCTGCCTGTCCCTGTGGAGCTGGGGCGGCGGGAGGGGTGTAGCTTACCCGGGTCGTCCTTTTGAGTGACGGCGAACAGGATTCTGGCCATATCCCGAGTGTGGCGTGCGTTTTCAGCCGCCCTTACCTTCCGTTCTTCCTGGCGGATGCGGTCTTTTCTTTGCTCAGGAGTTTCACGGCGATTGTACACCTTTTCTGCCACCTCCATAAGATCTCGAATAGATTTTTCTCCCAGCCTATCTATTTTTTGTAGTTTTTGTTTAATGTCAGGAGCCGCCTGGTTAACAAAGGCCATTACCACCGCGGCCCTGTTCTCCGTTGCCTCCGGATCCATAGGAGTATATTGCCGAAAAGCTTCCATGAGGCGTTCTAGAAAAGCCGCGGGGGTCTCCTCCCTTCCCTGCTGCACATCCCCTACCTTGGCCAAATTGGTGGGCTTGCGGGCTGCTGCACGCAACCCTGCCATTAGAGTCTGGCGGTACACCCGGAGTCTCTCCTTACCTTCAGCCTGGTTAAAATCCCAGTCAGGTTGGGTCAAGGGAAACACTAAATCTATGCGGGCCGCGTTTGTGGTGGGTGTGCCATCTTCTCCAGGGACTAATTTCCTGGCGGCCGTCAGTATACGATTTCGCTCCTCAGTGGTGAAGAGGACCTGCAAGAGCTGTTGGCAATCATCCCAGGTGGGCTGATGAGTAAATAGAACAGTGTCTAGGAGATTAACAAGGTCTTTAGGGTTGTCAGAGAAACGTGCATTTTGTGCTCTCCAGTTGTAGAGGTCACTGGTCGCAAACGGCCAGTAGTGCATGGGCTGGTTGCCCTGCTCATTAGGCAATCCTGCCACACGCAGGGGCAGGACGGTGGAATCCGGGGAATTCGCCTTCACTGAGCGGGTGCCTGCCGCCGGACCCTGCCCACGAGCCCCGCCCGCCTCTGGGGGAGGGTGGTCAGCCGACCGCAGGAGTTGGGGAGGGTTACTACAAGGGTTATGATAGGGTGGTGGAAATAGAAGTTCCTCCGGGGTAGAGTCTTGGAAAACCGCAGGTGCCGACGGGGTGTTGGGGTGGGACCCAAGCAGTTTAGCCGGCAGTACGGGTTGTGCCTGTAACGACAAAAATGGCTTTAACCAAGCAGGGGGGTTCTGGACTAGATCTTGCCAGACTAAGATATACGGGAGTTGGTCAGGATGTCCGAATTTTCTTTCACTGGTGATGATTTTTTTTACGCGACGGACAATCTGTAAATCAAAAGTTCCCTCCGGGGGCCAACCAACTCTGAACTTCGGCCACTCTGAGGAACAAAAGGTGATTAGAGGGGATTTTTTTATTTTTACACTGAGGTCCGACCCTCTGGACCTGACATCTTTAAAATGCTGTAAAACAACGGATAGAGGGGTAGATGGTGATTGACCCATGATGACAAATGCTAGAAGTACAGTGGCTGTCGTCACAAGAAACAGGCCAAAGACTGATTTTTCAAAAGGCCCCCAAAAGGGGTATCTGCTTCCCCGCAAAGGGTGTGGCCTTCCTAACATGTGGTCCGGGGACGTCTCCCGCGGTCCACGCCGGCGGCTTTCAAGTGCGTCCACTTAAGCCTGACCCGGCTATTGAACAGATTTTCAGGTTTGCAAACAATTACAGCTTTTACAGGTACAAAGTACAAAAGATACAGGTACTAAGTACAAAACAGCTTCTACAGGTACAAAGTACAAAAGATACAGGTACTAAGTACAAAACAGCTTCTACAGGTACAAAGTACAAAAGATACAGGTACTAAGTACAAAACAGCTTCTACAGGTACAAAGTACAAAAGATACAGGTACTAAGTACAACTACAGGTCTGCAGACTTGAAGCTTACCTGGGCGAGTGTTGGAACTCACCTGCGCGCTTTAGAACTCCTTTCGGTTGCTCGGCAGTTGGGGTCTGCACTCGTCGATCCCGGACGAGCCCCCAAAATGTTGTGCCCACGTCGACCAGTGCAGCCCCCAAGGACACAGACAACCGATGCAAGGGCACAAAGGAGTTTAATACGGGCTCGAGACCGGGCCCTCGACACGCACCGATGCAACGGCAGAGGTCGAGAGCCCCGAACAGAGGAAGCTGGGACATTTTATAGGGTCGCGAGTGGCGGGAACTTTGAAAGAAGTTGGCAATTATTCATTGGCTACTACAAAGGCACTTTGGGCGCGCGCGGTTACAGTTTCAAACTGATTGGACGGTTAGAGATGCTGTCCCATTTATGGACAGGACTGCCCTCATTGGTGGCTGGGGTGGTCTGCTTTTTCGTCACCAAGTGGAGTGAGGGTTGTGACTGCTGAAACTATCTCCGGAAAGCGGCAGGACAAGGACTAACATATCAAGGTGGAGGATATACAAAATGGCGAAACCTCAGCTAAGCTTGGTTCCACAAAATGTTTTCAGCATTTTAAACACCTAGAACGTGTTAAATGATCATTCCCATTTTTACTTTTAGTTATCAAAGAGTTGTCTCTTAACAAGTTGCTGTCATTATTAGAAATTTCTGACTGTGGGCCTACCCTGGTGGTGCAGCGGTTGAGCGCTGGGTTGCTAGGCTGCCCTCAGCCTCTGCAGCGGCAGTTCGATCCGCGGCCACCGACGAAGGTCCCACAAAAAAAAAAAAAAAAAAAGAAAGAATAAAAAAGAAATTTCTGACTGCATTATTTTAATATATGCACATTTTTCTTTTTTATCACCTTAAAGGAAGTTTGTTACTAATAATTAATATAACTTTATATCAGTTTTGTTCAGTGCTGAAATCTTTCTACCTAATGCAGTAGGAAATGCTTGTGGTTGGCAAACAATAGAGGCTAAATAAATGTTTATCTGATACATGGACATGTGAATCTTGGTTTCTCTCTTACTGCCTAGTATAATAGTGCATTGCATTTAGGAGACCCTCAAGTATACATTGACTTAAATTGATCACCAGCGTTCTAATGAGTCATATGAACAGATGTGGATGACAAAATTTAGATTGAAATCATCTCTCTACTTATGTTCAATGACTCTTCAGTTCCAATCTAAAAACCATAATTTTACAACAATGTAAGTTTCTGCATCTCAGCATATCACTTCATTGGTGAATTTGAACTTCTCACCATATTAGTGAAAATTTCAGTTGAATTAATATATGAGTTTGCAAAATGAAGGAGAGTTGAAGAAAGGAAATCGTATCAGGTAGTCCTTAAAAATAACTATCATAGCTTATTATGGTGCTTAAAATATATCAGACATGATATAAAATCCATGAAGAAAATAATTAAACATAGGGTAGATATGGAACAACAATGTTAGAATGACCCTTTATGTCACCAAAATACCAAAACATGAATATTCTAGCATTAAGAAAGTCAAAATGATCTTTTTAAACTAGCACTTGATTTCTAAAATGTAAATAATAATGACATTACATAATGAATTAGGTATGAAAATCTGAAAGATAACAGATACAAAAATGGTGAGTCTGTGCTAATTTTTTTACAAATTAGAAAAAAATGGAGAAAATAATAAATACAGATTTGTTAGCAGCTGTTCTACATTTTAAATCATGAAAGCAAATGATTGAAAATAATTTTATCATTTTAATGATTAATTTACTAAAAATAGTAGCCATTACATGAAATAATGCACACTGATAAGATTTAGAAATGCTGCTTAGTTTTTACTTCAACATGTGAACTTTACAACCTATATCCCAGGTCTCTATTACATGAGGAGTCCATTCAATCAAAAAGCTCAGAACAACTTTCACTTCACTTGTCAGAGTTTTCAACTTGAAATTTTGTCTCATATAGCTGCTGTCAAAGCTTGACAATTGATATTTGAAAGGTTTGACCTAAGGGACATTTATTTCTATAGGTCTCTAAAGTTTGCCTTTCTAAGAGGGCAGAGAGGTAACTGGACTCTATTTCTCTATTCTTCATAAAAACACTTTCACTGAACTAGGATTGAACATTTGTCTTGAGATCTTTTTTATAATTGGTTGCCCTAAGAAGAAAATCATTTTATGTTGCAGATACCTCCTATTATTGGTGTACAGCATGTCTTACACATAGAACTTGATATTAAACTGTCTTTAATATTGATGTGAGGTATATTTTGGTTTATTCTCTTATCCTTTCATTTTTCCTTGTTAATGAACTCTGATTTCTCATAACAAATAATATAAATGATATAACTCATTTTGTCTTTTTACCTCATTTTCTAGGAAGCATTATACTGAGTTTAATGTTCACTTTATTATCTTTTTTTTTGCTTTAGATGCTTTAATGTTAAGCATGATTAAGCTCTAAAATTAAATACAACCTCAATTAAATCTAGTTTACTCAGATTTTGAAATTTAAATTTTTAGTATTTTTTTTTTTTTTAAGGATTGATTTATTTATACAAGCACAGGGTACAGTCAGAAGCGCGGGAGGGTGAGAGAATTCACCAAAGCCAGAGCAGGGAGGAGAACAGGCAGAAGGACCGAAGTACACTGCTGAGGGGAGCAAGCGGGCGTCAGGAGAGGTCTGCGCACCATGTGGGACCCTCCTCCGATGGCCAGGGAGCAGCCGGGGTGTGAACCGGTGCTGCAGAAGCTGCTGGCAGCTTCGCAACCCAGCATTCAATCGCATACAAACCAATTTTTGGTTTTGTTAAAGTCTATTCTGTATAAATAGCCAACAGTATATCACATTAAAAAACAGACTTTATCTATCTAATATATCTTTCTCTCTCTTTCTCATCTTCTCTTTCTCTATCTCTATTTCTCTAACATCTATGTAAGACTACCACATGCACTTAAGTGTGACTTGACTTTATGAACTGGATAACATTTTAGATTCTTTAGATATAAATTTGCATCCTGGCTCCCCCCATTTATTAATTGAACTTATCATCTCATCTTGAGTAACTGATCTAAATGTCTAGGCCTTTATAAAACATACTAAATAACAGTATTTAACAAAAATTGCTATTAGATATTCCCAAAGAGGCATGAGGTGAAACGACTGGAATTTTAATACAAGGACTATCCTTTCAATGCTATCTACTGTGCTCCATATGCAGAAATTATAACCTTTTTTTGCTAAAACTATGGCTCATCTAAGCATTTAAACAAAGTTTGAGAATTAATATCTTTTTAGAGTCATTCATATACCATAAACCATTTATTATTCAAAAGCAAAATAATTTCATGTTTATTAAAAGAATTCTGGTAATAGGAGATATTCCCATTCCTATCTGTGATTCACACTTTATCTGTGATAAAGGAATCAAATTATTCATTTTTATCACTGTGTCGATTCATAGTTTTAGGTCCTTGGCTCCAATTTCAATGTAAAATTAGAGTATTTTAACAAAATGCTATTCTGGAAACTTAATCCTGGTGAGTACCTTTATGAAATGAAAGCTTACCACCAATAACTTGTGATTGTTTAGAGATGAAATTAATCACTAAACCATATAAATTGTACCTTATTAATATAGTCACAACATTCTAACATGGAAAATGAATGTATCTCTTATTTCTTAAATTTATTTTTTCCTGCATGAATATATGTTGACCCCTTGAGTAAAATATTTAGGAATATACTTTTAATAGGTCATTAAAAATAATATGTATGCTCTGCAGAGACTACACTGTCATTATTTGGAGATTCTTAATGAGAAGATCAAGACACAGAGAGGTTTGTAATTTGACCAGGACCATTCAGCTTGTAGGATGGATGGAATTCACAGTTATCTGTCTCAAAACTCCATGCTCTGAGACATTAAGCTATACTAGCTCCAAAATACATTGTGCTGCTCTAAATATAAGATACAATTTAGAGCAAAAGTAATGGAGAGGGAATTTGAAGGTCATTCTTTTTGCTTGGTCTCTGCTAATAACTAATGCCTGCCTGGGAGGCACACAATATGTTACTTCACCACTAAAAGGCTCAATTTCCTTTCTGCATTTAATTATGAAGTTGAGACATGTGGTCTCTAAATTCCTCTCTGGTTATCAAGTCTTATTGCATCCATGGAGCTTTGCTCCCATGTGTGCTAATATGTGGGTGTAATAACAGTCACCTCAGTTTTCTCTGATTCTTTGCCCTGTGTTGAGAACATTGTCCTGCAAAAGTCTCTTAGATCTTAAAGAGGTATCTTAATTGTGGTCAGAATCCCAGGATTTCTTCCAGCATTTTGTGGTTAATATTTCCTTTCTTTCATACCCTGACATGCATATGTTATTCAAGGCCTCTTCCCAATTACTAACCCCTATAACTGATGACTTAAAAAAAAAT